TTTTTGTTCTATCATCTGTCTTTTCTCGAAGGGGTGGTAGGTGGGATACATGTGTAGAAAAGTTATTGGTTGGTCGAACGTAATGTTGAATTTTTATATGTAGCACCCAGTGTGGATGAAATTCATTGTTCAGTAGCAATGATTAATCGGAATAACCATTACCCGACGTGGAGGCACCGGGTGGAATTTTGAATATGATTTCGACTCGAAAGATGAAAATGAGGAATTTTTCAATCTTCTACAAACAAAAACGATCTCATGGTAATTTAACTTGAAGTGGATATATATAATGTTTCGCCTTACAGCAACAAAACAACTGCATTAGAAATAAAAGAGAAAATTCATTCCACTTCGTCTTCCAACCTTCTTCTTCTTCTTCTTCTTCTTCTTCTTCTTCTTATCTTCCTCCTCCTCCTTATTCTTCTTCTTCTTCTCTTCCTCCTCCTCCTTCTTCTTCTTCTTCTTCTTCTTCTTCTTCTTCTTCTTCTTCTTCTTCTTCTTCTTCTTCTTCTTTCAATCCATATAAATTATCCGCCCTTCCAATAAGACCACACAATGGCGCGAAGATTATTTTCAGCATTTTGTATTTGTGAATATGCAAAATAAATACGTTGTTGCAGAGCTGTCATCTAGCGGACAATATTGAAGTAACATCAGGTTATTTCCCTTGATTAGTAAGCAATGTAACAACTGTAATCAATTTGGAAAAAAAAAACTTTTGCTATTTCATTTTCTAGATATGACCAACATTAGATCCTGTAAAGGAAATTGATATAATTCTTTATTCCTTATCTGTGCTGGTCATTAAAGCCAAGGTAAAAGACAACTGATCAAAGCTTGCTTTTCAAGGCGCGTCACAATCTTCTTATTCTGCTTTTTTATTATTTGGTAGCTAATTAATACGTCTTTCAATCCATATCAATGTCCGTCGGTGATTTTCAACTGGTGTACCGTGAGAGGATCGTAGGTTTGACACCAATAATTTTTAAAGGTCATTAATTAAATTATTTTCGAAAGAAGTCCAAAGAACAATAAATTTCAAATTAAAATCCCTTTGATTATACGAGTGTATCTTTGTTATCTATTTCAGTAAATAAACAGAAAATTCTGTTTGTACGTTCGTGTGTCTGAAACCCCTCTAAATCGGGCCACACTTGCTCTACATAGACATTTTTTTAAAATTACGACGATCCCGAGATTGAAAATTTGCCATTCATCTGGTGCTTGAACATTCAGCATTGGGCTTTGTGCCCGAATGATGATGGAACAGTTAGAAATACAAATTTTAAAATAACTGAAAAATATAGTGATTCAATTTATATTGAGTTTAAAGTAATACAAAAAATTTTTGAATTTAAATTTTTTGCTTTAAATTCAGTTCATAATATCTCCAAAACTTTGTGAATTAAGGAAATCAATTTTATTTCTTCCAAATGCCAAAAAATCAGAGTTAAAGTAAGCGGTTTCGTGACATGTGGTTTTGAAGTTCCGCAGAGTTTGTGCTGTGACACTATTTAGTTATGGTAATTGGCTAACTAATTAACCATAGAAAGACTTAAGGCGAGAAAGAGCTATATCGAAAGATTAAAAAGATTTTATTTTATTTACGAAGAAATTATTTTAGCACGAGACAGAAAATCCGTAAGAAAAAGCGAGATATGAGATTCTGTCAAAACTGATTAATGTCATGATAAGGGAATGACGCGCCAAGGGAAACAGAATTCAGAAAGAAAAACAAAGCTGGCCGACACATGGCGGTCATAAAAAATTTCGGCTTGAGACGACCGCGACACAGGCAGAGAGAATCGATATTACTTATCTTTCAGAGATGTCATTTAATTTTGATTCCTGGGTGCAACGAAGGGAAATCATCTGGTATATGTTAGACTTTTGGCACGAGGAAGAAAATCGTGGAGGAAATTATTGTTATTACTTTTTCAAACTGTTGACGCCAGACACAGCGTCGTCGAAAATGGGCAACTGGTGATAAGAGGATTTTAAGGCATGAGAAAAATAAAGAATTTGATTCTCAGGTAAACACAGATCCCCAGTTAAAAGTTGACTTAGCGGAAGCTAGATGTCGGGTTTTGACAGTGATTGATGAGTCGGTAGAGAGATTTGACTAAGTGAATTTTGGGTGTCCCCAAAAGAAAGATGTGATAAGAATTATTTGGCAATCTGGGGTTTGTGAAAAAAATGTCTTGGCCGATGGAAAAAAGAAAAAAAGGATTTTGTAAACAAAATTCTGGATAATAATTTTAAGAGGGCCAGTCTAGTCACACCCACACTGCCGAGAGATCATTGGTCAAGTGGTAGCGTGGGTGATAGGCGGAGGTGTTGTTGTTAACACCCACTGAGGGGATTGGTATGAGATACCAATGTGAGAGAGGAAGAGTCTAGGAGGATAACTCTCCTCCGACCTTCCCTCACGGACGAGGGAAAAAACCCCGAAATGGAAAGTGATTAATCTTCCAAAAATGGGAAGTAATTAATTTTCCTGGCCTAAGAACAAAGAGATTTCTTGTTGGAAATCGAGAATTATCGAGGAACACAAACCACGTCAGGCCTCACACCGGGTTTTGATCAGTATCCATATAAACGAACGTCTCCAGGCAGTTTCAGTTTCGGACAGAGTCAGGGTATTGTCTCGCAGAAGCTGACCGAGAGATTACACGTCCTTTCGACTTCGCCTTCCTACTAAAAGCAAGTTATACTGACGAACGACTTAAGATACCAAAACTCGCTTAAGAATCGCAAACGTGTCACAAATCCATAGAAACGGACTGGGAGAGAAATACACTCCTGTATATAACAGACGGATAAGATAATTTGTTATTTCTCAACATATTTGAACCTCTTGAGCTTTGTTTTATTGCTTCTTTTACTTACGCTTGTGCGATATCACCTTCAGCCCGGATTCAGCTTACACTACGGCCCGACGCCTGATTGATTTCGTCTACCAAAGATCAAAGTCACAACGTGGGTAGGTTAGACTTGAGATCAAAGTAGTTACCTCGGTAACCAGACGTTGGAAGTGAGCTGGGAACGACAAAGCTGGTATCGAATCGGGGACGACCAGATCGGCCGGGACACAGGCTGGTGGCAGCGACAAGGAGTCAATCCCAAACGCTGGTGGAAGAAACCTTACAGCTTCGCACCGCAACAGGGAGTTGACCACGGGCCGACAGCTCAGCGTCACATATTGGCGTCGCGACCAGAGGACGTCACATATTGGCGCTGCGACCACCAGAGGATGTCACAGTGCTTTGAAGAACTCAACTCAATTAAAGTTCTGCGGAATTTATGATTTGAAGAACTCAATTTTCGACCTGAATTGGAATTTCGACCCAATTCGGAGTTTTAACCCAAATCGGAGTTTTAACCGAAATCGGTCTTTTGGCCGGAACTGGTTTTATAGCCTGAATCAGAGTTAAAGTGAGGTTTTGAAGTTTCATGGAATGAACTGAGTAATTCAAAATTATTTCTTCAAAATTATTATTGCTGTTTTCTAAGCGGGATCAGGGGTCCCTCTAGTTTTCGGGGTTAGCTTAAAATGTTTGTACGGGGTGCGGCTTTTAAGCTACTAATAAATAAGCGTATATAGAATATGTAAAATAATATTCAAAATGAGCTTTTCTGACATAAACAATATTAAAAGAAATATCAAGCACGGATAGAATCAGATTTAAGAGTAAGTCTGTTCTAAATTCGACCTTGAAAAGAGGATATTCTAAAAAAACACGCCAAGCCCAGATGTTAAATTATTATAAACAAAAAATAAACGAATATTGGTTTTTTAAAGAAATTTATTAACTTTTTATTATAAATTATAGTAAATTATTTTGTTTGTGTTAATAAATAAATCATAAAACGTATACTCTTTTTTAAACTCTCTTTTTTTTTGTCATCATAATTTAAGTGTGCCGTGGATGCTTAACTATAGATTTAAATGTGTTGTGAGATAAAAAAAAAAAATAGTTTGAAAAACATTGATCTAGGTTAAACACCGCACATTTGTATACAATTTGATCGATGCTTTAAACTGAAGATACAACACAGTTTTCCGTGTGATGTTACTGGGACGTTGTTACTTGTTCTTCCAACAGAACAAATCCATAATGAAATAAATAATGTACGTTAAGCACGTCAATACCACATAATCGAATATTCGGTTTTGATGTTATTCGGTTCCAATGAGAAAAAGAAAGAAAGAATGAACGAAAGAAAGAAAGAATGAACGAAAGAAAGAAAGAATGAAACGAAGAAAGAAAGGATGAAATGAAGAAAGAAAGAAAGAAAGAAGAATGAAAGGAAGAAAGAAAGAAAGAAAGAAAGAAGTGTTGATAACACTCTCATATGCTTAACATCTGCTTCAGTGAGATGGAAAACCTTTTTAAATTTCGAATCTTTTCATTTGTATTCTCTTACTTCTTTAAATAATGATTTGCATTCATATTTATGGTTGTTATTGCGATATTTTGCTAAAATTGTTAAACTCAAATATTTAGCGATGCAATAGTGGGAATTTCCATGTATATTTTATAGTCGTAGGACTTGCAAGGAGCTTTTTTCAATCATTAACTTGATTCTCTTTCCTTTTTCTTCATTTAATTCTTTTTCTTTTTAATCTTCTTTCATTTTCTGATGTATTAAGATTCATCAGAAAATGAAAATAGGAAAATCGTGAAATTTTTTACGGGTATTTCTAGTATTTTTCTCAACTTTCCTGATATTTGGTTTGATTAAATTAGTTTCATTTTAATGGTTGAAAAATTAAAAATAATAAAATAAAAATACACTCTGAGTAATAAAAAAACAAAAACAAAAACGGTGATCAGTTTTCTTCATCATCATCATCTTTTCACCTTTAAACTTCTCGTCACTGGCATGCCATTAGATAGTCACGTAGACAAGCCAAGATAAGACAAGAGACTGTGAAAGAATATAACGGCTTTTTTCTTTTAATCTTTTTTTTTTTTTCTGTCATTTCTGCCTACTTGATGTCATCCATTTATCTTCTGGGTCTCATTTTTGATTCCCTCCTCCTTGTTCTTTGTCACGTGACTCTTTCTTCTTCATTTCATTCTTTTTTTCTTCTTGTAGATCTCATTTGTGCTCGTCTTTACTTCCATAACGCTTATACTAATCTCTTCTTTTTCCTTCATTTTAATTTTGCCTTAATTTTCTTCTTGTTGACATTTTTCTTCCTCTTCTTTTTTCATTTTCCTCTACTTTTTTTTCATGATTTCACTCACACCCATTCTCATATTTTCCTTCTTGATTCCAATATTTCCTTTCCTTTTTCTTCATTTAATTCTTTTTCGTCTTTTTATTTCCTTCTTGGTCCCATTATTCTCGATTTTTTCTTTCTCTTCTTTTTAATCTACTACTACTTTTTTCGTTTCATCAATTCAAACCCCATTTTGTTCCTCGTCTCACTCTTTCCCTCTTGCTTTCTATATTTCACTTCGAGATCTCATTCCTTTTCTCCCGCTTCTTATAGACGCCATCCTTTCACTTTCTTCTTCAAGACTTCATTTCTTTTATTCTTCTTTCTATCATCTTCATCTTTATTTTCTACAAGTTTACGACGTTTCTATTTTGGATTTCATATCTTTTCATCTGGCTATTTCTTCTCTTTCATTAATCTTCTATTTCTTATGGATTTGATCTTTCCCTTCCTTCTTCTAATTATTCTTGACTTCATCCTTTTCTTCTTCTTCTTCTTCTTCTTCTTCTTCTTCTTCTAACCCTTTCACTTTTTACTTTATGACTTCATTTCTTCTAGTCTTCTTTATATCATCTTCAAGGATATGTTTACGACCTTTATCTTCTTTTACTCTTTTCTATCCTTCAATTTTGTTTTCTACGTCTTGGTTTCATCCTACACTTTTCTTCTTTTTCTTCTCCTTTTGCTGCTTCTTTTTCTTCTTCTCTTTCTTTTTCTTCTTTTTCTTTTCATTCTCATTCTTCTTTTTATTTTATTTTCTTCTTCTTTTTCTTTTTTTTCTCCTCCTCCTACCCCCCTTTTTAATCTCCTCCTCCTTTTTCTTTTTCTTTTTCTCCTTCTTCTTTTTCTCCTCCTCCTCTTTTTTCTTTTTCTTCTTCTTTTTCTTCTCCTTTTTTTTCTTTTTGTTTGTTTTCTTCTCCTCTTCTTTTTCTTCACCTCCTTCTTTTTCTTCTCTTCTTTCTTTTTTTCTTCGTCTTCACCTTTTTCTTTTTTTTCTTCTCATTTCTTTTTCTTTTTCTTCTCATCCTACTTCTCTTTATTCTCCCCCTTCTTTTTCTTCTTCTTCTTCTTCTTTGTTTTGATTTGTAGGAATCAGTAGCATCAGCCACAGTTAACCAACAGGTTCCTCCTTGAAACCCTTATTTTCCTTGTTTTTCCAATGCTCCATTCTTATTATCAAATATTATTCGCCAAATATGTGAAAACCTTTTTACGTTTATCCGATTGGTTGGCTCATAAGACAACCATTGCGTTTTGTTATGTCTTAATTATCTACCTTGCGAGAAGACATCACCTTATCTGAGCGCCATTATGCGTTGCCAGAGAGAAAATGTAAGCACTTAAGAAATGGACCACACCTGTGAGAGATATCAAGAGATTCTTATTTACCTCACAAAATAGACATGAAGCAAGATTCCACGTGATCAAGTTCTGATTATGCATTCGAGTGCAGTTAGACTCCTTAAAACTTTTTATAAAGCAATGATTTTAATGTTCTAGATGTTATAACTTTTAAATAGTTTTATAACTTGAAATTATATCATTATAACGAGCACATATTTATTTTACTTTTCAGGAAGCAAAGCAAGGAAATTTCACATTAATTTTTTTATTTTTATAATACTGCTTATAAAAATATGTTTTCTTACAATGATTGTGTTGAAAAATGTGCTAATTTGCTTCGTTATTCATTGAAAATGTTTGTTTCTTTTTGTTCTTAAGACAGTGGTGTCTTTAATAAATCTTATTTACAAAATTTTCGAATTCAATCATGTCATACATTATTTACATTATTCGGACTATTGTCCTCATCTTTGTCGCCATATTTATCACAACGTTTTGGCCGTTGTACGCTCCGGCCTTCTTCAGGTGGTTGGAATTTCGAACTGAACCCTTTATTTCGCTCACTGGGGTAGACTGTTCTAGTTTCACGTGCCATGTTTGATGGATGTCAGTTATCAGTTATCTCCTGCTAATTTCCCTCTGAAAGTTCTCCACTGCCTTAACCGGGTATTGAACTCACACTCTTTGGGTTCTGTCACTGGATCTAACCAACGCCTTTATCCACTGTGCCATGTGTCCTTGAGGACAACCACCTGAAGAACGTTGTAATAAATATGGCGACAAAGATGAGGACAATAATCCGAATAATGTAAATAATGTACATAATACCTCATCTCAGAAATATAGACAGACAATAATGTCATATTTTTTTTTTTGCGGGGGTGCATTTTTTTTTTTATTATTTTAAGGTTCGGGGCAGTTTTTCAGAAAATTAGTAGTAGTTTGAAAAAAAAAAAATTGGTAATTTACATTCTCCAAGGAGTCTTGATTTTAACTAATAAAACAAATTTTGAGATTGCATTTCTCGAAATTTCATGAAAATTAATTGGGAGGTAAGATATGTAAAAAAAAAAAAAAAAATATAATTTTTTTTTTTAAAAACAAAAATTTCAAAAATAATTTAATTCATTTGTGAATAACTTTTAAAAATTACGTTAAAATCTGACAATTATTTAATTTTTGCAAGAATTTCCAAATTAATATGTTTTCCAACGAAAAAAAATATATGCAAAAACGCTAATCGTAAATTACCGTCGACCGCTGACGTAAAAAAAAACAAGATTTTTAACCAAAATTTCGAACGTGCTAGGAAGGATTAAAAAATAATAAAACAATAAAAAAATACATTGTTTGTTCCTTTTAATATTAACATAAACATTTTGACGATAAAACTTGGTTTTATTTAGCTTTGGGCCTTTTTTCATTATGCTATGCAGTTTTTCAGCGAGCAAGTCGAGGTATCTATCTATCTATCTATCTATCTATCTATCTATCTATCTATCTATCTATCTATCTCTCTCTCTCTCTCTCTCTCTCTATATATATATATATATATATATATATATATATATATACTGAGAGAATTAATGAATTCATGCCTTGCCGAGGGCATTAGTTTGAACTAAACACCAGAGACTGGAACTTGAACTCTGCTCATCGATTCCACTTTTCACGCTAATAACCGTTATACTTCCTGCACATCATTTTTTTGATTATTATTTTTTTATTCTTCTTTTTTTCAGATTTTTGGTTTTCTTCCTCTTTTCTGTTCCCCATTTTTTCCTAGCCATTTCGTTTTCTCATTCTTTAGTTACTCTCCCTCTTCACATTTCTTCACTATATTTTGTCTTTCACTCATTACTTTCTTGATTTTTTTCCCCTCCGCTTGATATATTTCACCTTCTTTGTCTTCCTATTACTCGTCACCCCCACTATTAATTTCAAACATTCTTCCTCTTTATTTGTCCTTAAACCCTTTTTTTTTGTTTAATTAACCTTCCTATTCTACATCTTCACATAATGGTTTCATCCTTTCTTTCAAGAATTATTCTTTCTTTCCGTCAACAGGCGTCTTTCCTATTTTTCATTTCTAAAAAAAAAATACTTCCGTTTTTGGAGAATCTCTTTTTGCTGATATCTAGAATAATACTAGAAATTCTTGCTAACCCCAAATTCTTTAATCATAATAACCTCAAATAATGAACTCTTTTGCCTAATAGTCTACCACGGAGATGATTTCAGATGCAGAGCTGTCTAATAAAAATCAATGAAAAGTAAATTATCCCCGTCCAATTTCAAAAGCCGTAGCTGTATTTCACTAAACGCTTCATAAGTATAGCCTTGTTCCAAAGTTATCTTAACTCAGCTAAAGATATGTTTTCACTTTTCAATTAAGTGATCTTTCATGACTTAAGAGGTAAGAAATAGTAATAAAAATGAGTTTTTAGGAAAGGAAGACTAATACAATATTATTTAAGAGTAAAGGCATACTAATAAAAATGATTTTAGAAGAAAGATACCAATAGAAATCACTTAAGAGAACAGAAATACTAATAAAAATGGATTTAAGAGGACAGAAATTCTAATAAAAATACTTAAGAGGAAATAAATACCAATAAGATATGATTTAAGAAGAAAGAAATAATAATAAAAATGATTTTAGTGGAAAAAGTACTCATAAAATTAACTTAGAAGGATAAAAATCCTAATAAATTATGTCGTAAGAGGAAAGAAATACAAATAAAATATGTCTTAAAAGGAAAAAAATACTAATTAAATATGTCGTAAGAGGAAAGAAATACTAATAAAATATGTCTTAAAAGGAAAAAAATACTAATTAAATATGTCGTAAGAGGAAAGAAATACTAATAAAATATGTCTTAAGAAGAAAGAAATACTAATACTCACTATTGTTTTTGACTCTTCAGAATATTGACTAAACTGAGTCACGTCTGGTACAAATTCTATCCGCTATTCTAATAGTTCCACTTTCTGACCCAAAAAACATTTTCATACAAAAAGTACTCGTATGTTTGAAAATAGTCGATCTGAGTAATTAAGATTGAATTTCGATTCTAAGGAAATAAATTATAATCATCATGAAACCTTAAAGTTGTCTGTTTCTTAATAATAATTAATATTTGCTCTGTTTTTACATTGAGCTCTCTGGATTATTTCCTCCTTGGAATTATCCATACGGATTACCAAACTCATCATTAACTGTATATATATATATATATATATATATATATATATATATATATATATATATATACACACACACACATATATATATATATATATATATATATATATATATATATATATATATATATAGTGTATTTAGGGAGCAATCCTTCATTTATACAGGTTTCATTAAAGACGACAGACAAGTTACTGCGATTAAGCTTTTTATTTAATTTTTCTTGTGTTCGAACAAGTGCTTTCTTTTCTGTACAAAAGAAAATCAAAATTACAACGAACGAACATTATTTATGAGTTCAAATGCCCCATAAGGACCGGTCCCTGATCAAACCGAATTCATAAATAATTACATCGTTCACACTACTACATGCTTCTACAGACGCCTTACGTTATGACTATCCGACTACACCTTGATTAGAACCCATTTAAACACACATACAAATTTACCAGACTTCATCCGAAACATATTAGTAAAAACACAAACATAATAATCTCGGCCACATGTAAAATAGATTAAATATAATGGAAGCCTTAATAAAAAAAAAAAGAAAATTGAATACTCACTAATATTAACTACGAACACGACAACAATGTGCTGTGTTCAGAAAATAAAACATCCGTATAACTCTAGAAAGATACACACAACCCATATACCCAAAAAGCAAAATTAAAATCATTCTTGATAATGGTTAAACGTATAGCTCGAAATTACAGAACATTTAGAGATTCTACACAAAAGAAAACACTTGACCGAACACAAGAAAATTAAATAAAAAGCTTAATCGAAGTACCTAGTCTGTAGTCTTTAATGACACACACACACACACACACACACACACGTGTGCGTGTGTGTTTTAGGGGGTAAAACGATAGGTTTTACTTTCCCTTCCCCCACGCTTCTTGCTTTCCTTTGTTCTTCCTCTTTTACTGTGCTTCCTTCATCCGTCCGTGGGGTTGCTTGGTACTTGATTAAGCCTCCCACCAATTAATCTCTCACTGACTCCTAGAGCCACTTTTCTACCAACATTTCTGTTATGGTCCAGATTAGAAACAAGGAAGAACAACACGAACACAAGAGTAGAAATAACGAAGGTATATTACACGAAATAATAATACAAGATGTGGAAGGTGTTAGTATGACTGTCAGTCTGGTTTGGAGTGAACTACTATCGGCTCGACTCGATTCGATATTTACTTGTCTCATCACGAGGGAAAGATGTGGCACAAGGCCGAGTTTTACGTGGCTCAGCCAAAAAATTCCCGTAGAAACTGTAAAAACAGAATCGCGTTGGTCAACCTCCCCAAACAAGGCTCTACCCTTCGGCGGAGCCTCGTCCGGGTTCCTCTCTGCTCAGAGGCAGAGAGTTTTACGTGGGTTTTCCGAACCCGTAGGCTCGGCCAAAAAATACCCGTAGAACCCGTATAAACGGGATCGTGTTGGTCAACCTCCCCGAACGAGACTCTGCCCTTTGACGGAGCCTCGTCCGGGTTCCTATCTGCTCAGAGGCAGAGAGTTCGACCGTCAAGCCGAGAAGCTCGGCATAATTCGACTTTCTCTCTTGAGAGGCGTAGTATACATAGTGTTAGGAAGAGTTCATTCTGTAGTTATAGATAAGAACCCATGACAATTTCCTTGTTTTGGGGTTTGTTTTTTGTTTTGTTTTTTTCCCCATCCATAATTATGTGCGTTGTGGTGCAATGGATATCGCCTCGGAATGAGAAATCGGCAGATCCGAGTTCGAATACCAGCTGAATTTCGTTATATCCACTTACGAAAAATAACCTTGAGAAAGGTATGAATCTATCTCTTCTCCCTCCAACTATGGGTTAAAGAGAAGAACAGACGGGATCCTTTAGCCTTGGTTGGCAACCAGTCTACCACAGAAAGAAATGGCAACCTAATGCGGGAAAAATCTTGTCTGTCATTTTGATACATGTTCGCCCAGGCGTGTGGCACTTAACTAACTTATTATAATTATATACAAGCCTAAATTTCGGGGAATTTGAAGACATCAAACAAATTGTTCATTTTTCAAATGCCCCCAGTACTGTTTACGCCTTTCCAGAGAATTTACACGAAATAAACTCATTTATTTTAGTGGATGGGGGAAGCCATTTCCTGCCTTAACACACTCCAAAATTTAGGTAGCACTCGTATATACATAGATTCCATTTAATTGCTACATAGCGAGAATAAAGCAAATGAGCTAGATTGTAGAGAACCATGACCGTCCACGTCCTGAAGAGACACGTCACATATAAGAATTTTATGTTAATTCTGTTTTTTTTTTGTCCACCAACTCCAATATAATTTCAGCTCTTTTATACTATTCCATAATGAAGAAAATATACGGAAAAACAATGTTGTTTATCAAAATCATCTTCATACAATTCATAAATGTTTTAATGAACATTATCCAACAGATATCAGTTATCTGTTTGGATAAGTCTTGTTCTTATGTACATCGTCTTTGTCATGTTGAATTGATAATGTCTTAATTTATGAATATGTCCTGAAGATGGTTTATTAGACCGAAACCTCCGACGTTGACATATTAACATTAAAACAGCATAATTGTATATAAGGTTTTTTGTTTGTTTTTTCCGTATATTTTTCTTCATACTGTCGGATCTATATCCATATATTTGCTTGCGCTATTCCATAATGTACGTAACTTTTTTCCCATGCTTAGTCAGATCAAAAATACAATTTCGCTGCCATATCTTGGGCGAGAGCTGGCCAATGCTCTATCTACCGCCAGCCTTGATAGAGCTAAAATCTTTTTGTACTATCTTGTGGAGGATGACATTTTCCCCCATGCACCCTCTTTCCCACAAACACAACGTCACAAGTCTGTCGCTTCTCCATCACTATTCCCATCGGAGATTTTTGCACGAGCTCCGGTCTTTTGTTCCACCAGTCCTGCCATGCTACACCAACCTTCATTCCTTTTTGATATTCCAACTGTAACGAGGAGGTTACACTCAAACTTTTACCAAGAACCGATAATTTGTGGAACATACTCCAGGGTAGATTGTTTCTCAAACTATAATCTTAATCTGAAGTCAAGGGTTAGTCGTTACCCGTCCTCCTTATCCTCATAATCTTCACTTTCAATTATCTACGCACTTCATTTAGTAAATCCTCTACTCTGAGTGGCTCTTAAACCTTATATTGGTTGGGTGAACAATAGTAAAAAAAAATCTATAACCAGATTTTAAATATGTTGTTGCATTATTTCCTGAACACTACAACGAAGGATTCTAAAAACTGATGTCATTGAAATCTGGTTTTCAAAATGTTCGCAAATTAAAGAATAAAAAAAATGCTTGCAAGAAAGTTCTTTATATATATATATATATATATATATATA